TGAAGAGACCTTGGTTCTGAAGCGGGAGTCCTGGCTGCGCCCTGCGCACGGTGTTGCAGGTCGTCGCTGGGCAACTCCTGTCGGCTTCCTCTCGGCCCTCTGTCCTCAGCTCAACTTCTTCGCCGTCCACCGTCCTGCTCTGGTCGACTCCGAAAACCTTCTCAGTCTCTCCTCGACTTACTAGCGTCTGTGTCGCTCGTTTTTTCTCGCGACCTACAGCTTCTTCGCCGATCTTTTCTCTCCCCACTTGACCTACTTATTAGTCGGTGCGCAACCAACGCGCTAATTGGTTCTTAACGCGCGCCTGCCTAATATTGTGTAGGACACGCACGCCCCCGACTATTTCTCTCTCTCTCTAACATTTCTATACTCTCTCGGTTGCCAGCGTAGCCGCTTCGGGCCTGCTCGGCCCCGCTCGGCAATCTCCGTCAGCTGAAACAGAGACCATGCATTAGACGCATTCTTAAATGTGCCTAACGTTGGTCACCGTGCCTTGCCGAGAGAGGTGGGACTTGGATAAATTCCCACGAGAACAAGCGCAACGCTTGCTCTCGTCACAGTAGTAACTGGATTTCGTCCATTTGGCTCTCGCAAATTTCCGTGTGTCGCGCCAAGCTGAGAGTATGTGCGTGTGGTACACACACTCATGCTTGAATTTTTGTTTACGAGGTACTGTACACGGGCTGAGCTAACGACTGGAGCGATGGAGATGGCGCAGAAGAAAGGAGAGAGAGAGAGAGAGCGCTCGAATTGCGGATCGCCGCGGAAAATTTGGGAGGGTCTCTGCTAGGCTGTGAGCAGAGGAGGTCGCGCGCGCGCGGATCAAACCGAAGGTCACCGTTTTCCGAAGTTGGCCCCGTGACCTCGTCGACGATTGTTCGTTTTCGGAGACACGCGCGGTGCGCGAAGGAGTATTAGAATGTGAGGCTGGGTCGCGCCCAGCCGTTTCCCAAAGGATATCCGGCACCGATGCGTGTGGGTAACCGGCGAAGTGCACGGGTGCACGCGCGAGTAGTTTTAACGTGCTGCAGTGCCGAGCAGCGGAGAGGCGACGAAGACAACGACAATAGCAATGAACGAGCGAGTTTCGGATTGAGGCAGTAATATTGTGGAGCGAACGAAAGCACGAGGAGGAGGAAAATAGCGACGACAACAAACATCAGCGAGACGTTCGGCGGGGAGCACACCAGTGACGTCACACTGCGGAACGCTCTAGCCGTCAGAGAGGCTGAAGGTTGATGTCGATGCCGTGTTTTTCTCTTGTTTCTCTCTCTCTTGCATGTTTGGGCGCCGGCTTACGGGTGGTAGCACGGCAGACCTGCTGGCTACCCCGTTGATAGTTTAACGGCGGAAAGTGTTTTGTCCGGGATTTATTGTAACATTTTGTTTTAGACAAGGAATCGGCAGGCTGATCAGCCACCATTCACCTTCGCGTTCGGATTTATTATTGTGCCGCTCGTAGTGTATAAGTGCGAGATCACCGTATTGTAGCCTATTGTTGACGATTAAAGGATTAGTGTATTAATCCGCTGTTGTGTTTATTCGCCACTATATCACTCCTCATCCCGATTTTGAATCTGTGCGTTTAACGTGTTTATGCTCGACGCGTTAATCAGTCGTGCAAACGTCTTTTGAGTCCCGAATCCCCGAATAAATAATTTGTGCGGACGGCCGCAAGTAACCCAGACGGGAACGGTCGCTAATTCTCCGTTACAAGGTCCAGTTCCGAATCAATCAATTCGCCTAAATCTTCGCTGAAACATTAGTTTCATGCAAAGTTTCAGCTAAGTCAGTGTTGCTTACCCTTGTGTCGTTCGCCTCGTCAGTGTATGCATGAACCGGAGAGTAGGAGGCCGACTCCAGTTCGTGAATCGACTCACAACCTTCTAGATTTGTCAAGAAGCCAGGCATTGTGTTCATTTGATAGTACATGGCTTCTGGGTAGAGGTTAAGTTTTGGGAAGCGTAATTTTACCGTATATGGGTTATCGTTGGTAACTAGCAGATTCACCCATTCATCCAAGTTATCAACTGGTACATTTCCTGCTCGAATATTTGGATAACCGAATTCTATGTCAAGTATGTAACCTCTGTAGAAAGAAATAGGGTTCTTGAAAGGCAATCTGAAGACTAAAATTACATATGCTAGGACCTCGTGTATTATTTTGTTCCTTGAAAGGATACTCATTCGCACGAGTGAACATCATTTCCAAAGCAAAATCTACGCGAGCGCTGTTTGTCTTGAGAAAACGGGTTCCTAACAAATGGGTGGTAGCTATAGTAAAGTCGTCAGCTACGACTATAAAGTCAGCCTGAGAATCCGCTAGGCAAACAGTTATAGCACCCAGCGCACAAAAATCTCCTCCTGTCACTCCGCGTATTAAAGGAAGGTTCTGCATATCTATAAATAGGTCTCGACGTAAGTCGGTAATCTTTATTATATTTAGCTCTGCTCCCGAGTCCAACATGGCGTCTTCTTGTTTCGAATAAAAATCGTCTGATGTAAGCTCAATTACCACCCCACTCCAGAAAATCCTAAATTTACATGGTAGATTGTTTTTTCTTCACCGCTGTCAAGATTGTATTTACCGGGCGCTGGTTTGAGCAGGCCCCGGTGCGCCCTGAGGGTGCGGGGTTGCCTGTGCGTATCCCGACAATTTCTTTTTATTGTTCCTCGCACCACGCTTTATACTTGAGGCTTAGGTAATCGTTTACGTAACGTCCGGCCCTTTGACAGTGGGTGCAACTGGCTTCTGCATTGTATAGTTACTTGTCGAACTAAGGTGGAGGGAGCAAGTTAGGATTTCTAGGTCTTCTTTGTAAACCAGATTGAGATGGCGCTGACGTTGTTTGTGTCTACGTTCCTTGGGTGAGTTGCTTTGTTGGTCGAGTAGTTTTAGTTGGTTGACTTCCTAGGGGCTGCTTACTATTAGCAGGGGGATTTTATAACTCATTGGAACCATGCTTTTGTCGGTCGCGCTGGATCTGCTTTTCTATCCATAAAATTATTGTAGATCATTAAGCAAAAATTATATTTTTTACGTACCTCCACAAGAAAAATCTGGTGAATTAGTAGGCCAGTTAACTGGACTTCCTCGACCAGGTCACCTCTCATTATAATTGTTATTTAAAAATTCTCGAACGATTCGTGCAAAATATGGTGGTTCACCATCTTGCAAAAGCCAGATTGAGAAAACTACGACTTTATCTTGCAGCTAGATCGACGTATTCCGAAAGTACTGACAAGTGATCTCTTAGTAACTCTAAATAGCTTTTTCTATAGACATTTCGCACAAAGAATTACGGATCTATCAAGTAACTATTAACTATTCCACACCATGATGCTTTATTTTGATGATCCATCACTCTGTGCCAGTGAGCATTCACATCTGATCAATAATAGCAATTGTGCCTGTTTAACCGCTCATCGCTATAAAATTTAGCGTAATCCGAAAAAAAAGTATTTGAAAAAGTCTGGATTATTTTCTATAATTCTTAGAGCTCAGTGACAAAATTCAATGTGCAATTGAATATGGTTCTGCCTTAATTCCTGAACTAAAGTTATATGATACGCATGATAGTTAAGAATTTTCGGAATCCTTGAAACCGTCGCATGGGTAATACCAATTTCTCTTTTAATTTGGCGTGTACTAATATGCAGATCGAAATGAACAATTGCTAAAATGGTCACGATACGAGCGTTCTTTTCATCGTATTCGTGGTTGCCTAAGCTGACAAATCAGCTGGCTACTGCGAGCTCTTTGAGTTATAGTCCTAATTGTTATATCAGTAGGATGTCTCCTATATGGATACAGCTCAGCATATCGCCTAGCTGCTACAATATGATTACCATTACATTGCCCTAAACCCATTATCATGTCAACTACTTGATCAACTGAATAATCAGCCACGATATAATTTTACTTATGGACGAGACAATTGAATTGTAAGATTTAATTTTAAAATATTGAGAACAAATAAACCTTAGGGTTTGAAAATTTAACTTAAATTAAAAATCTAATACAAATTGTTAAAAATTCAATTTTTGCTTATTTCCAACAAATAATAGATTACAAAAAACGCCGTAACTCGGTTAAAAAACATCGGATAGAACTCCACGGGGGCTGATTTTAAAGGGAAAGACATTACCCTCCGAATCCCTCCAGTCGATTTGCCCTCCACCGCCTGGTTCTAAATTGGCATTGATTTAAGTCGAGGTTAAAAAAATTGAAATTTTTTTAATCAGTTTTTTTACTGTAAAAAACACATATTTTCATTTTTAAGTCTCTGCACGTCTTAAATGGAAGCTTTTGCAATCACCTTTAAAATGCTCTGCTGTTTTTTGTGATACGATTATTTCCGACCGAGATACAAAACTTTCAAGTTTGCCTAATTTTGAGGTAAACATGGCAAAAGTGATTGACGGGCAGTGTAGCTAAAAAATGTTTGCTTATGAATGATCATCGAGAGGTTGGTACTCTAAGTAAGAAGCCTTTTTATCTTGTATTTTCGAGGTCGATTTAATGAAAAGATTTCTTCAAGACCATGGCGGTAGGCGTCTAAAGACGGCTATTGTATCCTTATTGAGGAGATTAATAAGAGTCGGGATGAGACGCTAAAGTGAATTGAAAAATTTTAATTTATTTTATATATTCTGGTTAATACACGTTGTTTAAAGTGTGTCAAATATTCACTTGTAATTTTGTTTAGAAACATCCATTGTGAACCAGGTTTTTCTTAATTAAGTAACTCTTATTTAGTTTTGATTATAGATTGTGAACAACTTGAGCGAGTAACAATCTTTGTCTTTGGCTAGGTAATTCAAATATTAAGATAAACACGTTTTCTACGATAAATTCTTAGATTGACTTATTTAAGGTGTCAGTGTATTATATTCCTAATTTACGAACATAGATATAGTACTTACTAACAAATTATCTTTTTTTGAAAAAATCATTGATGAAAATTTATGAGCTATAATTGCATAAACATGAATCTTACCAGAAAAATCGATTATCTGTACAACGCGCAGCATATCTTTGTTGAGCACTAAGAGTAATGTCTAAAGGATGATCAGTACCAGAAGACCATGAGAAGTAGAAAGTTCCAGAATTTAATACTTTTCTAACTTCGGCAATACGATCATCATTAATATTTTGAATATAATGCAATGGAATAAAATTCGTTTGTGTAATTCGAAATATTTCTGAATCATAAATTTTTCCAACGGAATAACAGCTAGTAATCATAACTAAATAGAGTAGAGTACTATCGCCATGATGAAACTGTAATACACCAAGACATCCATAAGCATCCAACAACTTTGTATACTGCGATTTTAAAGAGTCAGTTTCACTTCCAGCTATAAAAAATAATTTCAAGCATAAATAATATATCATATGATAACGTTTAGATTTAAAATTATAAATCGTTAATAGGATTTTAGACGAAGAAAAAAAACCATTAGAAACCATAATGTGAATAAATATTCATAGCTAAAAATTTTTCATTATAAATGTATATTTTTTTATATTCTAATTCTTTCCATCATTTATTATTCTATGATTTATAGTTGATTCTGTTCTCATTGCAACAGACTGATTTTATGTTATTGTGACGTCGGGGTCACTCTCAGGTACGCTTGGAGTAAGCGTAAACTCAGGGTTGCTCTGATTTGGCTATCGTGTAACACATTAGCCGGGACGACCAATATTGTTGCGTTAAGAAAACTGTATGCTAGCGTGGAATGTAATAACCAAATGTTATCACGAACACACCAGACTAACGCTTAATGTGTTCTTAAGGGACTTTAATGAAAATTCACCAGACTCACGCTTAATGAATTTCCAAAAAGAAAGGGCGGATTGCTTGAAGAAAGAAAAGGATAGCCAGTTATAACATTTTACTTACTTTTATTTTATCAAATCACTTATTATTAGATTTGCGTTCTCTCTGCTCTTTGGCCTCTTTCTCTCTCTATATACTCTGAATATACTTGGGTGACTTCTTAATTGAATTTTGGCTGACTTTTCTTCTTTGATGCTTCCTCCGGGACTCACTCACTGGTAAACACTTCTTATTAGGGACTTCCTGGTGCTCACTCCGCACTTCCAACTCTCCTTTCCAGCCTTGTACAGAGCTTTTTATAAGCCGTGGGTGGTTGGGTGGAAATCCCTTTCCTCAGGCCCATGAAGCGATAACGGCCAAATTTTGTATTGGTGGGAAATTTTCTAATCATATCCAGAATTTCTTTATTGGTCTGTGGGCGTGAATTTTTAGAGAGAGAAAGGGCGGTCCCTTTTCAACTTGGGCCCTTTTCTCCAGAGATGGCTCTCGGAGTGCCACTTTTAAGAGCAAGAGTAACACTATAGTTTATAATTACTTATACATAATCGTACTAAACTTAATTAATTATAACGATACATAGTGATTATTATAAACATTCAGAAGAATCCAAACCTTTTACGATTTATTATAAAATACATTACTGTTCTATTTATTGGTTATTCGGTGACAAAAAGATGCGCATTATAATAGCTTACAAAATTGATGAAAATCTATTTAATATTACGGATATTTTCTTAAAAATCGGTGGGAAAAAAAGATAGATTGCATTTTTATGGTCCCCTTCCATTATCAGCGTGATAACACTTCACGATGTATACGCGATGATCGTAGGCCCCTGTGAACACATGCGTGTGGAACAAAGAAGGATAGAGCGTTGATTGTAAGCGTGAGTACGCAGGCTCGGGCCACTATCAAAGTTTATATTTCGAATGCGTTTTCAACGTGGGGAATTAGGAAGGTTCCCACTTCGTTCGTCATATTTAATAATTAAATTAATAGAGGAAAAAAAACTAAGTTACGGCTGGCCGTCACAGTATAAGATTCATTTAATTACCAAAAAATTATCCTTTTTGTTTACGCAGAATAAAATAGAAATAAATAAGATTTTTTCCAATATATTTTCATCATTTTTATAAAATTTTTTATTCAAAAATATATATTACGTTTTCTTTTAATTTTATTTTGCGATCATTTATTTCACTTGTCTTATATTTGCTCGTAAAAATTTAGTTTTTTGAAGCTGGACATACTGAAATAGCGATCATTTGATTTTAATGGATCTTTTTATACGTTAGATTAAATGCATTTCGATCAGAAAAGTGAATACTAAGACAATTGTGCAAGAATTTCATGAACGCACGACACGAGATTCGGAGCGCTAAAGATTTTCTCATTGGACAACGGCATAGAGTTCAACAATCGGATGATAAACAAATATATATCCAAGAAGGTATCCAATACTATCTAACACCCGTTTATTGTCCAAAAGCAAATCCCACAGTGAAGTATAATCCTACGTTGAAAACAATTATCGTCTATCATATTGAAAGCCATTATTGTATTTGGAATGAAAACTTGGATAAAGGTAACTTTTCTTTTGAATACGGCAAAACGTAGCACACCTTAAATGAGCCATACTGCATTAAATTACTTTTGTCTACGTGGGGTATAAGATCAGTTAGCCTAAGGCAATGAGCTCCATATTAGCAGAAGATCTTGGGTGCAACCTCTGAGTTTTATGCCCATCTTGCTTTCCAATGTAGCCGAACGGACGAGTATTGAGTAGTAAAGGTAGACCAAGATATTCTATGACAATGGCTGATCCTCAACTTTTAAGATAGGCAACTGGATATGACGCATAAATTAGGTCTCATTTCTATGAAAGGTATTGTGCAAGGATATTGTCTCTAATTTGGCTCCTCCTTATGTAGATCCTTCCGTGAACCTGGAAGGACGTGGTGTATTAAATATTAGTACCCTAAAAGCTTTTTTAGTTTAAGTTGCGAAAAGAGAAAATACTCCCTAAAAGTTTTACCTAATAATGAAACGAAACTACAAATAGAAAGTTCGGAACTACTTATCCCAACAATAACTAAATTAGAGAAACAAAAAACATCAATTTTGATACATTTCAAATAAAAAAAATAAATTATACAAAGCGATACTTACAATTCTTCATCCGTCGATCCATCCAAAACAACTTAAAATTGTAATCAAATCGTATAACCATAGCATGATTCGAATTCCAAATATTAAACATAAAGTAACTAATCAGCTATTATCTGTTTCTTTCATCGAACTAACCAAATGATAATAATAAGAAAATATATGCTATTAATAAATTACTGAACGAAATCTATAGCTTCAAGCCTCCGCATACAAAAAATAGACATTCTCCAATGAATATGTTATCAGGAATATAGTTATACAAAAAACTATTGCCATAGATTGCCTATTTGTGTGAAATATACAAAAAATTATTTTACATTATTCTGTTCAACAAAAACCAAAATAAAAGATGTAAAATGTGCAAACTGCGATAAAAACCATATAGCCAGTTACAAAGGATGCAACGCAAGAAAAATTCTACAGTAAAAACTATTTCCGACATTAAGATCTGCAATAGCGTCGGCCGTCCTTGCCCGGCAATCCTTTCCCACTCTCACCTAATTATTTAAGGAGGAGATAAGGGAGGCGGTATATCGCTCCCAACAAGGCAGAAGAGGAAAGGCGATCGGAATAAATACTCTAACCTTTTACCAACGAAGCATATTTATTATAAAATCGCTACCTTGAACGATGACGATTAGAAATCTCATTACCGATTTTATACACAATAACAAAAGAAAAATTTAACAGCTAACTCAGCCGTGACGGCCCGCGAGAGCCTGGCACGACGCACAAGTCGCGAATAGCCAAAAGGGTTAGACCGATTAAGAAAGAGAAACGAGAGGATTGAGGGTAACCTGTGTAATTGACGAAGTCCGCTTGGCTGGCACGTTGACCTTTTTTCTGTCGGCTGGTGACTTCCTGAGATATGGCGTGACTGATGGACAAAGGCCGCTCTCGAAAATACTGTGGCGGTGCGTCAAGCTGGTATGGTCTCGCTCGCGGGGTCACTTCGTTAATACTCGCGAAAAAACGACGCAATAGTGCGTGAGAGACTGCTTCTCACACCCTCCCCACTCACTTGCCTAATCAGCGGCACGCGGCACCGCCAAGCGTGGCCAGTGCCGCGTGCCTAGGCGCACTATAACTGCACTCTTTCTCTCTCTCTCTCTCTCCTCTTTCTCTCTGGTACGTACAGCGCCTTCTTTTTTTCGTTCCGCTGTTTCTTTATTTTATTCATCTAATTTTTCCACCTCGGAGTGAAAACTCATTCTGCAGGGCGGTCGCTAACTGTGGCTCTCATGCTTGGGCAATAAATCGCAATTTTTATTGCCTTTTTCGAGCCACAGTTGCGATTAAACACCTGGCTACACAACCTAACCTCCAAACTACGCCTCACACAACACCACAATCAACGCTACACACGTCAACGCAAACAACGTCTTACACCTACGCCTACAATCTTTGTCGCTGCATCTTCTACAAGCCTTGACATCGAGCCTCAACTTTAATTTGGTCAACGCTACATCCCCTGGTGTTCTCATCTTGGTCTCGTACTGCTGAAAATTGACTTTTGTCTGCGGTTGTGCGTGTTATTGCGGTTTTTCGCTCTGTCTATTGTCAGCGTGTGCATGTACTAATTTCTAATTATTAAGCGAGAGAGTTTTCTTATTCAATTTTTGTGCAGCGCGTGTCAATGGTCTCTAATTAATTATTGTATTTAATTTGTATTTTCAAGGGCATTTATTTTCAATTCCATCATTGTATATTTCTTAGTAGCCCTGTTTTATCGACTGATGCATTTTAGTTATCTGGGTTTACCGACTGTCAAATTGCGCAACTCATCAGTTCTCTCTGTCGCCACTGCGTGCGTTGTCTTATTACTGGCGCGCATTTCAAACTGCTTATTACGAAAATCTGCGTATCTCTAATTGTTATCGACGCCTTTAATGGTTAAATTATGCGCATTCTGTAACTCATCTATTAATCGTAAGACTGACCACTCAGTTCAGTGCACTATTTGTTTCGAATTGTTCCACTTGCATTGTGTTAGCCCGGTTGCGTCGGCGGGCGCTATCATCTGTAGCGGTTGTCGCCCTGCGTCAAACATTATTCCTAGGAATACCCTATCACGTTCTCCGTCTTTTGCTATAACTTGTTCGCCACCCGCTACATCAAACGCGACCTCCGTTACTCCTGTTGCGTCTTTCGCATCAAAAAAACGCACGGCAACATCTCCTCAATCTCCACTACTTCGCAACGTGAAGCAATTCTGCTCTACTCAGCCATCACCGCTTGTTACCCCTGTAAACATGGCGGACTCATCTGCTCCTCCACCGTGGTTCGTCAGCTTTCGTCAGGAATTTCTCGCTGATATGAGAGACCGAAAAGCAAATGAGAAATTTC